GGCTCAATCCAGGCCCCCCGGAGGCCGCGGGAGGGAACTGATCTAACTTAGCGCCTACTTTCGCCGGCGGGGGGATGTGGAAATTTTAATTTTGGCCCCAAAAATTCCAAGGACAGATCCGGCATGGCCAAATGGAATGGCTGACTGGGAGCCCTTTAAACCACTCAAAAAAAAAAAGCGTTCTCCCCCACATAAACAATTTCTCCCCCGGGTTGGGTTGAGGAAGGGACTTATTTTTTTTATAGATTTACCCTTCAGGAAGGTAGGTATTTTACTGTAGAAAAATTAATATTAGGTTTACTAAGGAACTGTAGATAATAAAATGTAGACCTAAACTTAAAATAGGGAGTAAAAGGGCCCTAATGAGGCAAACCTAGGTAAGTTTGCTAGGGGGAAAATGGCAGCCCTAGTTTGAACGACGAGACAGGATCTGGAAGAGAGACCAGCTCCTTTTTCTTTAAAACAACACCAACTGGGCAAGACGTGCCCGGGTCAGCAACGGCGCCCCCCGCTGTCTTCACATTTGAACCGGGGGAAAACTGGGTAGAGGCCCCTCGTGTACCGTAATGACCCCTTCAGGCCCCTACGTAAGACAAACCTCCATTTACTGTAATTTCTGGCCATGTCTGGGAGATTGGAATTTTTTCTGTGGGGCCCGGGGTTCAACAGGCAGAGCATGCCCATAAGTCCAGGTTTCCCCAAAGGGAGCGGGAAACTTGTCCTGTCTGCATAGTTTTTACTAGGGATAATACCCTCTTGGGTATAGGAATTTTTGAGGTGCAGCGGGCACTAAAAACGATTGAATATTGCAGGGAAATTAAAGGGCCCCCGGTTTTGCACAGGTTTCTGGGGGAATCAAGGGGGCAAGGCTAAGCTTTGGGAATGAAGATCAGGATATTGCTTTTCAAAAACCAATAATTAGTCCTTTATATGTTCATGCACAGTTTCTTGCAACACAATCATTTTGAAAATCTGTCCTATAAGCCACTTTTAGGCTGAGGATCCACCCAGAGCTCGTTCAAAAAGTTTGCCAGGGGAGGGGACTCACTTGGGGGCAGTCCACACAAAATTTTCACAAACCCAAAACCTTAATTATATTTTTCTACAGTTATAAACCAACACAATAAACCCAATTCTGTAAACTCGGGATGTAAAACCTTAAAGAAAAACTTTGAATTTAACTGAAAATTTAATATATGGGACACGTAAAGGGGTTTTTTGACACTTGGGCCGAGAGAACAATGCATACAATTTTTCCCTATTTCCTTTCTCTAAATATTTTAAATTTATTTTACAAAAAAAAAAAAGTTTTTTACTCTTGGGAAATTTTGCAAAAAAACTGCCCTTTACTCCCCCCTAAATCCCCCAAAAATTTGGATTATTATTATTATAAACAAGGGGGGGGGCGCTAAACCCGGGGGATTATACAGCCCTGGGGGGGGGGATGTGGAAGGCTTCAGGGTTAATTCGGGGAACTGGGGCACAGATCCAATTCCCTAAAACAAACCCCCACCAACTCAAGGAACCTTCCCTTTAGGGGGCCCCAAATATTTTGGGAAAATTTCCAAAAAAGTACCGTCAGAAATTAGAGAAATCATTTTTTTTACAATTTCCGGAATATTACCACTTAATTTTAAAAAATAAAGGCGACCCAAGCAAATAAGTGAATAAGTTAAATTCCGAGATATTTGGCCGGAGCGCCCGGCCGGGGCCCCCGTTTGAAAAAAAAAAAAAAAAATGCGAAAATCGCGTTTTTTTTCGGTGGTTTTTTTTAGTAAACTGATGTCGGGGCAGTTTTTTCCCCTTCTAAAGCCGTTTTCTACATGAAAACCAAAATTAAAATTTTTAATTTTAACAAGGGACGCGCTAAACCCGGGGGATAAACAGCGCCTGGGGGGGGGGGTGTGGAAAGGCATTCAGGCTTAATTCGGGGATTATTATTATTATTATAATCAAGGGGGAAGGCTAAACCCAGGTTAACAGCGCCTGGGGGGGGATATGTGGAAGGCATTTAGGCTTAAAAATTTGGGGGAAATGGAGCACAGACCAAATTTTCCCCAAATCAAGAGCCCCCCACCCAAAATCAAGGAAACCTTTCCCTTTAGGGGTTAATTCGGGGGAAATGAGCACAGATCCAATCCTAAATCAAGACCCCTCACCAACATCAAGGAACCCCTTGAGGGGGTAATTTTTTGTAGAAACATCTAAAAAATTTATTCTTTACCCTTGTTTTTGTCCGAGTTAAATTTTTTTTTTCTATATGAAAAAAATCAGGTTAATTCTTCGATTTTTTTTTTTTTTGAGAATTTTTATATTTTTAAAACAAGGAGGAAGCACAAACCCGGGGGATATACAGCCCTGTTTGGGGGGGGGGGGTGTGGGGAAAGGGATTCAGGTTAATTTGGGGGAAAGGGGCACAGATCCAATTCCCCAAATCAAGAGCCCCCCTCACCAAACAAGATAGATGAAGGGGCTAACGCAAATCGATCAGCCAGCTGGCTGTACAATGTTTTTTGTGCGGGCCCAAAAATAACAGCCTGATTAATCAGACCGTACCACCACAAAATTTTTATAAAACAAGGGGGAAACGCTAAAACCCCGGGGGATTAAAAACAGCGCCTGGGGGGATGTGGAAAGGGATTTATTTTTAATTTAGGGAACTGGAGCACAGTCCAATTCCCAAATCAAGAGCCCCTCACCAACCAAGGGAAACCCTTTCCCTTGAGGGGATCCACCACAAAGCCTGGTCCACATGGACCACGGGGGCATTGACCCCCCCAAAAAACCCCCTCCAGGTATACCCCCAAAGGGAAAAAAATAGGGCCCCCAGGGAAATAAGTCACTTGTCGACCTTTATTTGGGTTTTTCCTGGAGAATTAACACGTTATTTGGAATTGTACATACGGCACCCCTTATAAATCCAGGGGGAAGTGCAAAACCCGGAGGATTAGACAGGAAATCTCTACTGCCTCCTAACTGCAGCATTTACAACCCAAGCTTCATACCCATATAAAAGTGTTGGTACCACTATACAGTGGACCCCCGCTTTACGATCAGCTCCCAATGCGACCAATTATGTAAGTCCGTTTGTACGTGTATGTTTGGGGGTCTGAAATGGACTAACCTAATTCACAATATTCCTTATGGGAAGAAATTCGTTCAGTAATGGCACCTGAACATAATTCTGGAATGAAATAATATCATAAGCCGGGGGTCTACTGTACTTTCATACATTCCCTTCTTTGCCTCCATAGATAATGTTTTTTGTTTCCACATATACCTCAATGCACCACTCGCCTTTTTTCCCTCATCAATTCTATGATTAACCTCATCCTTCATAAATCCATCCGCTGACACGTCAACTCCCAAATATCTGAAAACATTTACTTCTTCCATACTCCCCTCCAATTTGATATCCATAATATCCAATTAGATATCATAATATAAACATAATATCACTTCACCTGACCTTTCTGGGGGTTAACCTAAGAAATTAACGCAACTGAAGGGTGTTCCGGGGGTCAGCGCCCCCGTACCAAAATATTAATCAAAAAGTGTTAAACCCACCAGGGTCTGTACCTGGTTATGCACAGCATTTAATGTCTGTGGGGACATTGGCCCCCAAAACCCTCTCCAGGTATACATTTATAAATACTGTTAGAATTTTTTCGAAGTACAATTTGTTGGAAAGATTTAGTATAGCAATTCTCTAACACTTGTGGAGGTTATTACGAATGTTCGTCAAATATAAAGGCAGTTACTGATCTAAATTTCAATATTATTCCACAGGATATGCCATATACTGAACGATTAGATTATAATAAACAAAGCACTAGACCTACAAGGGTCATAACAGCACTGAAGGACTAAGGAATACAGCACCTGGAGCAAACTTTACTTAACTCTAGGCTCTATACACTAGGCTTCATACTCTAGGCTCTACAATCCAGACTCTCGACTCATCCACGTATACCTGTGTAGAGCTTTATCAGAATGTATCATTCTGTGTAGCTGGTATAGGATTCTTGATCTAATGAACTGGAGTTACCCTCCGCCTACCATTTCCCAGGTACTGCATGATCCCTATGAGTTTAGCACTTATGAAACAGTCTTGGCTATATTTTACAAGATTACTTCCTGTCTGTAGTCTATTATGGGGGAGAGTTAAACCCACAGGGATTATACGGCACCTGGGGGGGGGGGGATAGAAGGTATTCAAGCTTAATTCAGGGAACTGGAGCACAGATCCAATTCCCCAGATCAAGAGCCCCTTGCCAGCATCAAGTAACCTCCCTTGAAGGGTGTAGCCTGATGCAGAGACTACTGTATATAGCAGATCAATATACAGCCTCTCCTTACTTAATGACTGAGTTTCATTCCTAAGACCACATCGGTAAACGAATGCGTCGTTAAGCGAGGAGAATACTATAATGGTAGTGGGCTCGTGTCAACCATCTTTGATATCGCTTTAATGTCACCTTTGCACCATTTATAACATTTCTGGTATATTTTTAAATGTTTATTACAATATACAGTACACTGCTGTATAAACAAAATATACATTATTTAGGTATGAATACTGGTCAGAGAGCTCATCGTAAGTCCAAGTCATCCGTAAACGAGTACGTCGCTAAGTGAGGAAAGGCTGTATTATATGTGCTTCCCTTCAAGCAGCTGCTGCTACCCTCCACTTCCTTGGCTCAAACTTTACATCCTATTCTCAAAACAATGTATGATCATTATGGGTATTATAATCACAACTAAGCGTTAAACCCACAAAGGTCATACAGCGCTGATTATGGGGTAACCTCATAATTAGGATCATACAGCACTTTTTATGGGTAACTTCCTCATAATAACAACTAAGCATTAAACCCACAAGGGTCATGCAGCACTGTCCTCATAATACATCTTATTGCGAACCACCACTACAGGGTCAGCCTCGTCAAAGGCCAAGTGTAAGATCTCGAAGATATTGCAGAAGGCAGGCAAATACAGTATACTTGAAGTGTTTTATTAATACCACGTTAAAACATCGTTTACTTCTTTGAATCAAACCTGATTATCTCCCAGTCCAAGTGTTATATGATCACCAAACCTGATTATCTCCCAGTCCAAGTGTTATATGATCACCTACTGGTTTAGTTCTTTATTATTTTTATTTAGCACTTTACCTCAAAATATTTTTTTTTTTACAAAATCTGTGAATGCTCATTGACATCACATCATACAAATGTTCTTTTCAACACATTGGCTTGTAGGTTTAGCACTCAGTTATGATTGTAATAATAATCAACACACTGCCAGTTTCCCACAAAAGCAGGGAGACCCAAAAAAGAGGAAACATTTTTCACTGTCAATTATTCAATCACTCTTCCATGGAGCGTACTGATATAACAGTTCGACGTGACCCACTGATCTGCAGCATCTCCCCCCCCCCCAAGTGCAGACACTGTGCCCCCACATCCAGGACACGAGTCAGTAAGTGGACAACAAGCACGAATGTGTTTCCTCGGGAAAATGGCAAGTGTATTTAAAAACCCACTCCCATAAATATCAAGGACAATTTAAACCAAATTTGCACACACACACACAATATTATATTAATAATGGTCAACATGTCACCCAAAGACCAAAAATTTAAGAACATTTTAACAACAAATCCTCCCACTTTTCAGCAAAGCTAGTCAAAACTAGAGTCCTATTGTAAGAGATAAAATGATTTTTAAAATAGAATTCTGCAAAACCTTAAATTATAACAAACGAGCTTAAAAGTATTTAATAAAGGGCCGAGAGAGATCAACACCTGAATATGGGAACAAATGCCACGACTGGTAAAAGATAAGAGGAATATGGCTTCCAGTTGTACGTCTTCTGCTTAACGAAGCATTTTAATATTTAGAAAACTTATCTAAAATTTCCCTCTATCGGAATTATTTACATCACTGTTTACAAGTTATCAAAATACGCTCCTAGTGAAAAGGGAAAGGGGTCAATTTTTCTCAGATATATGGCAAACTATCTTTAACCCTTAAACTGTCCAAATGTAGATCTACGTCCAGGTGCAGAGGGCTCCGAACGTAGATCTACTTTTTTTTTTTTTTTTTTTTACATGCTTTCAAATGGGGAAATCAAGGTCGGAGCGCTACGCACATGAACATAGATCTACATTTTGACAGTTTAAGCATTAAGCATTATAATGAATATAAGACCAATTTATACATAAAATAAAAGATAATTATCTGGAGAAATTAGAAAATTTCAGTAAAATAGTGTTATGATGATAGGCTTTTGGGGTTAGTAGGCTGCAAAGGTTCATAAGGAACCTGAATTAATATCAATCATCGTAGGTTTTTGCAGCAGCTCTATTGTCGCGGTTCTTGTTGCGGGCCATCTGTCTGGCTTTACTAGCTGGAGATTCACGGTTAGGTTTCTTCTGGCCACGGCGTGCTAAAGCTGCCATATTGCGATCCAACTGCATAGGTGGGGGACCAAGGCTGAACACGTCACGTACCTGATGGAAACAAAAATATAAACTTTTAAAAACCGAAAGACCATTTTTTTTTTTTTTTAACAAGTCGCCATCTCCCACCGAGGCAGGGTGACCCAAAAGGAAAGAGAATCCCGAAAACGAAAATACTTTCATCAGCATTCAACACTTTCATTTCACTCATACATAATCACTGTTTCTGCAGAGGTGCCCAGATACAACAGTTTACAGGCATATATAAAGATACAATATAAAAAGGACCTGAAATAATTACAATATCTGGCACCAATTATATATATACTGTCCTATTAAACATCCCACAAAACTGCCAATATCCCAAACCCCTCCTTTAGAGTGCAAGCATTGTACTTCCCATTTCCAGAACTCGAGTCCGGTTATATAAAAATAACCGGTTTCCCTGAATTTTTTTTTTTTATTATCACACTGGCCGATTCCCACCAAGGCAGGGTGGCCCGAAAAAGAAAAACTTTCACCATCATTCACTCCATCACTGTCTTGCCAGAAGGGTGTTTTACACTACAGTTTTTAAACTGCAACATTAACACCCCTCCTTCAGAGTGCAGGCACTGTACTTCCCATCTCCAGGACTCAAGTCCGGCCTGCCGGTTTCCCTGAACCCCTTCATAAATGTTACTTTGCTCACACTCCAACAGCACGTCATGTATTAAAAACCATTTGTCTCCATTCACTCCAATCAAACACGCTCACGCATGCCTGCTGGAAGTCCAAGCCCCTCGCACACAAAACCTCCTTTACCCCCTCCCTCCAACCTTTCCTAGGCCGACCCCTACCCCGCCTTCCTTCCACTACAGACTGATACACTCTTGAAGTTATTCTGTTTCGCTCCATTCTCTCCACATGTCCGAACCACCTCAACAACCCCTCCTCAGCCCTCTGGATAACAGTTTTGGTAATCCCGCACCTCCTCCTAACTTCCAAACTACGAATTCTCTGCATTATATTCACACCACACATTGCCCTCAGACATGACATCTCCACTGCCTCCAGCCTTCTCCTCGCTGCAACATTCATCACCCATGCTTCACACCCATATAAGAGCGTTGGTAAAACTATACTCTCATACATTCCCCTCTTTGCCTCCAAGGACAAAGTCTCCACAGACTCCTAAGTGCACCACTCACTCTTTTTCCCTCATCAATTCTATAATTCACCTCATCTTTCATAGACCCATCCGCTGACACGTCCACTCCCAAATATCTGAATACATTCACCTCCTCCATACTCTCTCCCTCCAATCTGATATTCAATCTTTCATCACCTAATCTTTTTGTTATCCTCATAACCTTACTCTTTCCTGTATTAACCTTTAATTTTCTTCTTTTGCACACCCTACCAAATTCATCCACCAATCTCTGCAACTTCTCTTCAGAATCTCCCAAGAGCACAGTGTCATCAGCAAAGAGCAGCTGTGACAACTCCCACTTTGTGTGTGATTCTTTATCTTTTAACTCCACGCCTCTTGTCAAGACCCTCGCATTTACTTCTCTTACAACCCCATCTATAAATATATTAAACAACCACGGTGACATCACACATCCTTGTCTAAGGCCTACTTTTACTGGGAAATAATTTCCCTCTTTCCTACATACTCTAACTTGAGCCTCACTATCCTCGTAAAAACTCTTCACTGCTTTCAGTAACCTACCTCCTACACCATACACTTGCAACATCTGCCACATTGCCCCCCTATCCACCCTGTCATACGCCTTTTCCAAATCCATAAATGCCACAAAGACCTCTTTAGCCTTATCTAAATACTGTTCACTTGTATGTTTCACTGTAAACACCTGGTCCACACACCCCCTACCTTTCCTAAAGCCTCCTTGTTCATCTGCTATCCTATTCTCCGTCTTACTCTTAATTCTTTCAATAATAATTCTACCATACACTTTACCAGGTATACTCAGCAGACTTATCCCCCTATAATTTTTGCACTCTCTTTTATCCCCTTTGCCTTTATACAAAGGAACTATGCATGCTCTTTGCCAATCCCTAGGTACCTTACCCTCTTCCATACATTTATTAAATAATTGCACCAACCACTCCAAAACTATATCCCCACCTGCTTTTAACATTTCTATCTTTATCCCATCAATCCCGGCTGCCTTACCCCCTTTCATTTTACCTACTGCCTCACGAACTTCCCCAACTCACAACTGGCTCTTCCTCACTCCTACAAGATGTTATTCCTCCTTGTCCTATACACGAAATCACAGCTTCCCTATCTTCATCAACATTTAACAATTCCTCAAAATATTCCCTCCATCTTCCCAATACCTCTAACTCTCCATTTAATAACTCTCCTCTCCTATTTTTAACTGACAAATCCATTTGTTCTCTAGGCTTTCTTAACTTGTTAATCTCACTCCAAAACTTATTCTTATTTTCAACAAAATTTGTTGATAACATCTCACCCACTCTTTCATTTGCTCTCTTTTTACATTGCTTCACCACTCTCTTAACCTCTCTCTTTTTTCTCCATATACTCTTCCCTCCTTGCATCACTTCTACTTTGTAAAAACTTCTCATATGCTAACTTTTTCTCCCTTACTACTCTCTTTACATCATCATTCCACCAATCGCTCCTCTTCCCTCCCGCACCCACTTTCCTGTAACCACAAACTTCTGCTGAACACTAACACTACATTTTTAAACCTTCCCCATACCTCTTCGACCCCATTGCCTATGCTCTCATTAGCCCATCTATCCTCCAATAGCTGTTTATATCTTACCCTAACTGCCTCCTCTTTTAGTTTATAAACCTTCACCTCTCTCTTCCCTGATGCTTCTATTCTCCTTGTATCCCATCTACCTTTTACTCTCAGTGTAGCTACAACTAGAAAGTGATCTGATATATCTGTGGCCCCTCTATAAACATGTACATCCTGAAGTCTACTCAACAGTCTTTTATCTACTAATACATAATCCAACATTATTATTATTATTATTATAATCAAAAAGAAGCACTAAGCCACAAGGGCTACATAATCCAACAAACTACTGTCATTTCGCCCTACATCATACCTTGTATACTTATTTATCCTCTTTTTCTTAAAATATGTATTACCTATAACTAAACCCCTTTCTATACAAAGTTCAATCAAAGGGCTCCCATTATCATTTACACCTGGCACCCCAAACTTACCTACCACACCCTCTCTAAAAGTTTCTCCCACTTTAGCATTCAGGTCCCCTACCACAATTACTCTCTCATTTGGTTCAAAGGCTCCTATACATTCACTTAACATCTCCCAAAATCTCTCTCTCTCCTCTGCATTCCTCTCTTCTCCAGGTGCATACACGCTTATTATGACCCACTTCTCGCATCCAACCTTTACTTTAATCCACATAATTCTTGAATTTACACATTCATATTCTCTTTTCTCCTTCCATAACTGATCATTTAACATTACTGCTACCCCTTCCTTTGCTCTAACTCTCTCAGATACTCCAGATTTAATCCCATTTATTTCCCCCCACTGAAACTCTCCTACCCCCTTCAGCTTTGTTTCGCTTAGGGCCAGGACATCCAACTTCTTTTCATTCATAACATCAGCAATCATCTGTTTCTTGTCATCCGCACTACATCCACGCACATTTAAGCATCCCAGTTTTATAAAGTTTTTCTTCTTCTCTTTTTTAGTAAGTTTCTACAGGAGAAGGGGTTACTAGCCCATTGCTCCCGGCATTTTAGTCGCCTCATACGACACGCATGGCTTACGGAGGAAAGATTCTTTTCCACTTCCCCATGGACAATAGAAGAAATACAGAAGAACAAGAGCTATTTAGAAAAAGGAGAAAAACCTAGATGTATGTATATATATATATGCATGTACGTGTCTGTCAAGTGTGACCAAAGTGTAAGTAGGAGTAGCAAGATATCCCTGTTATCTAGCGTGTTTATGAGACAGAAAAAGAAACCAGCAATCCTACCATCATGCAAAACAGTTACAGGTTTCTGTTTCACAGTCATCTGGCAGGATGGTAGTACTTCCCTGGGTGGTTGCTGTCTACCAACCTACTACCTGAATCCCTTCACTAAATATTACCCTGCTCACACTCCAACAGCTCATCAGGTCCCAAAAACCATTCGTCTCCATTCACTCCTATCTAACACGCTCATGCACGCTTGCTGGAAGTCCTGGCCACTCGCCCACAAAACCTCCTTTACTCACTCCCTCCCTCCCTCCCTCCAACCTCTTCAAGGACGACCCCTACCCCACCTTCCTTCCCCTACAGATTTATGCACTCTCCATGTCATTCTACTTTGATCCATCCTCTCTGAATGACCAAACCACCTCAACAACCCCTCTTCAGCTCTCTGACTAATACTCTTATTAACTCCACACCTCCTGATTTCCACACTTCGAATTCTCTGCATAATATTTACACCACACACTGGCTTTAAACAGGACATCTCCACTGCCTCCTTGCTGCAGCATTTACAACCCAAGCTTCACACCCATATAAGAGAGTTGGTACCACTATACTTTCATATATTCCCTTCTTTGCCTCCATTGACAATGTATTTTTGTCTCCAGATATAGATGGGACAAGAGGAAAATGGCAACAAGTAAGAGGGAGGTGAAAGTGTATAAACTAAGGAGGAAGTTTGGGCAAGATATAAGCAACTATTGGCAGAAAGGTGGGCTGGTGCAAGTATGAGTAATGGGGGAGGGGGGGGGGGGCGTTGAAGAGGGTTGGAATAGTTTTAACCCTTTGACTGTCGCGGCCGTATATATAGGTCTTACGAGGTACCGTGTTTGACGTATATATACTCAAATTCTAGCGGCTTCAGATCAAGCAGGAGAAAGCTGCTAGGCCAACATATGAAAGAATGGGTCTGTGTGGTCAGTGTGCACCATATAAAAAAATCCTGGAGCACGCAGTGCATAATGAGAAAAAAAAACTCCGACCGTTTTTTTTTTTTAATTAAAATGCCGACTTTGTGGTCTATTTTCGTATAGTATTTATGGTTGTAT